CTTGAGCCACAGGTGCCAAGCCATGCCCAGCTATTATTTTTCTTGTCATTGTTGTTTAGCTGGCCCAGGCTGGGTTCAAACCTGCCAGCTCTGGTGTACGTGACCGATGCCCTAGCCGCTGAGCTACAGGTGCCGAGCCTAGTTAAACTTTTCCATTTCAGATATATATTTACCATTAAGAGGGAGGGGACAAGTTTTGAATACATTTCTTTAGCCTCTAGGAATGTTGTAGTTCTGTTCACGTGATAGAAGTCCTTCGGTTGAAATCACAAAGATGTAAAAGAGATCTAGAGAGGGTGGGCATTATACTGGCTATTCTTTCTTTGTTGAACAAAACTGACGATTTTTTTTGTCCTATTAGGAACTCTTGTCCCTGGCAAAGCGGAAGCGCAGTGACTCTGAGGAGAAAGAGCCACCTGTGAGTCAGCCTGCAGCCTCATCAGACTCTGAGACTTCAGACAGTGATGATGAGGTAGGTGTGAAATAGCTAGGCCTATGGACTGTTGGATATTTGAGGGTCTTGAGTTGGTAACTTCTGTCAGCCTCATTTCCTTAATCTGAGACCTAGAGCTACAAGAACTTGTAGAGTCACAAAATTGTGTAAGGAAAGTTCTTGACTGTTGTGTTCAATGGACTGCTAGTTACCTAGGGAGCCTTCTGCAGAGCAATTGTGGCATTCCTTTAGCTTTGTTTTCAGCCAGATTGCAGAAGGAACACAACCTATTAATCATCTTTTTTTATTTTTTGAGTCATCTTTTAAATCTTGCTTTCATGTTAGAAAATAGATTCTATCAGGTATGCCATATTTTAGTGGGAAATACTTGGTGAGATAAGAAGCTTTCTTTGTGACAATTGCTTTACATCCCCCAGAGTGATGGTGTTAAGTTAAAGGAAGAACGTCTATCTGTTCACCAAAGCATTTCCCAAACTACCTACTAACAAAGCTAGGCCCTAAAAGATCTAGAACCTTAATGGAAGACAGGGATGGGGTAAAAGATGTTTGTTTTTGTGTTCGTTTGGTTTTTTTTTTTTTGGCTGGAGGCTGGGTTTGAACCTGCCACCTCTGGTATATGGGGCCAGCACCCTACCCCTTTGAGCCGCAGGCACTGCCCAATGTTTTTATGGGGTTTTTTTGTTTGTTTGTTTAATTTGAGAGTCTCACTTTGTCACCCTTGGTAGAGGGCTGTGTACTCACAACTCCTAGGCTCAAAGCATTTTTCTCTTGCCTCAGCCTCCCAAGTAGCTGGCCCTATAGGCACCCACCACAGCGCCCGGCTATGTTTTAGAGACAGTGTCTTACTCTTGCTCAGGCTGGTCTCAAACCCGTGAACTTAGGTAATCTACTACCTCAGCCTTCCAGCAAGGAAATATTTTTTAACAATAGAATAAAAGATGTTAATTTAATATAATTAAATTTAGTTAGCAACTAAACAATATTTACTAGTGTTCTGCATGTGCAATTTGGGAATGATTACATTCTGATTGACTGGGGTGATGTTCTTTTAATCTTAAATAATTTAATAGACATAAAATTTCTTTCCACAGCAAGAAATAATGAATTTTTATTTATTTATTTATTTTTTGAGACAGAGTCTCACTATGTTACCCTCTGTAAAGAACTGTGGCATCGGCTCGGTGCCTATAGCTCAACCGGCTAAGGCGCCAGCCACGTACACCTAAGGTGGCGGGTTCGAATCCCCAGCCCGGACCTGCCAAACAACGATGGCTGCAACCAAAAAATAGCCAGGCGTTGTGGCGGGCGCCTGTGGTCCCAGCTACTTGGGAGGCGGAGGCAGGAGACTCGCTTGAGCCCAGGAGTTGGAGGTTGCTGTGAGCTGTAATGCCACGGCACTCTGCCCAGGGGGACAGCTTGAGGCTCTGTCTCAAAAAAAAAAAAAAAAACAGAACTGTGGCATCATAGGTCACAGCAACTTCAAATTCTTGGGCTTAAGCAATTCTCTTGCCTCAGCCTCCCAAGTAGCTGGGAATATAGGCACCCACCTGGCTATTTTTTGCTGCAGTTGTCATTGTTGTTTAGCAGGCCAGGGCTGGGCTTGAACCCTCCAGCCTTGGTGTATGTGGCCGGCGCCCTACCCACTGAGCTACGGGCACTGCCGTGAATTTTTACTCTTTATTTATTTATTTATTTTTGAGACAGAGCCTCAACCTGTCCCCCTGGGTAGAGTGCCGAGGCATCACAGCTCACAGCAACCTCCAACTCCTGGGCTCAAGCAAGTCTCCTACCTCAGCCTCCCAAGTAGCTGGGACTACAGGCACCCACCACAACGCCTGGCTATTTTTTTTGGTTGCAGCCATCATTGTTGTTTGGCAGTCCCGGGCTGGATTCGAACCCACCACCTTAGGTGTATGTAGCTATCGCTTTAGCCACTTGAGTCACAGGCGCTGAGCCTTATTTTTTTTTTTTATTATTATTATTTTTTGAGACAGAGTCTCAAGTGGTTGCCCTGGGTAGAGTTCCATGGCATCATGGTAGCTCACAGCAACCTCCAACTCGAGCTTAAGTGATCTTCTTGCCTCAGTTTTTCTTTTTTTTTGAGACAAAGCCTCAAGCTGTCCCCCTGGGTAGAGTGTCATGGCATCACAGCTCACAGCAACCTCCAACTCCTAGGCTCAAGTGAGTCTCCTGCCTCAACCTCCCAAGTAGCTGGGATCACAGGCACCCACCACAACGCCCGGCTATTTTTTGGTTGCAGCCATTGTTGTTGTTTGGCGGGCCCGGGCTGAATTCAGACCCACCACCTTGGGTGTGCGTGGCTGGCACCTTAGCCACTTGAGCCACAGGCGCCAAGCCCAGTTTTTCTATTTTTAGTAGAGATAGGGGTCTCACTCTTGCTCAGGCTGGTCTTGAATTCGTGAACTCAAGCAATCCACCTGTGTTAGCCTCCCAGAATGCCAGGATTACAGATGTGAGCCACCATGCCTGGCGTATTCTTTTTTTTTTTTTTTGAGACAGAGCCGCAAGCTGTTGCCCTGGGTAGAGTGCTGCAGCATCACAGCTCACAGCAGCCTCCAACTCCTGGGCTCACGCTGTTCTCCTGCTTCTGCCTCCCAAGTCGTTGGGACAATAGGCACCCACCACAATGCCTGGCTATTTTTTGGTTGCAGCTGTCATTGTTGCTTGGCAGGCCCCAGGCTGGATTCGAACCTGCCCAGCTCAGGTGTATGTAGCTGGTGCCTTAGCTGCTTGAGCCACAGGCACCGAGCCTATTTTGCTTATTTTTATTGAAGGAGCTTTAATTCTTCTCAAAATGATAAAATGATCCAATCTTTGAGAAAACCAGAGGGGTCTATGAAGTAATTTGCTTTTTGTTATTGTTTTCTTTCTTTTAATAGTATAGACAGTACAGGAAAATCTTGAAATAGTCCCCTCTTACTATTCCTGCAACTACTTTTGTTTTTCATGTTTCAGAAATAGCTGCTGTGGTCTCTCCCTACCCAATATTCTATTACATTTGAATCTGTGTTGTGTGTGGAAAAACCTGTAAAGTATTTTTGGTCTTTGTAGCTT